TTATAGTGAATGCCGAATCATACTTCTGTTAGCCTTTTATTTTACACTGATAGATCAAAGTCTGTGTACCCTTTTGTCAAGATACTATTATGATACCAAAGATTGTCATTATTATGCGAAATTGTTTTTATGTTTTGTTTTTGTTTTTGTGTTTATGCCTTTGTCCTTTGATGTTATGATATGATGTCAAACAATGTTATGATCATATTCTTTCACTAGTTACTGAAGAGATGAAGTTTTCTTAGATCAGAGAAAATCTATAAATTTGTAGCATTCAGTTGGTATCAAATTTAAAGATCAAATTTATAGATAGTCCATGATGTAGGAATTTATATAGTTTTGAGGTCAGTGCCTAACGCTGAGTGATGATGATACTTGCCTTGGTGCCTCAGCCACTTATGTGATTAAATTTGTCAGGATGATTGAAGCTAAGCACGTGGTACCTTGCTATTTTGAGCAACTGGTGTGCCTTTCATTTTCATCAAGCACTCAAAATAGGTGTATCTGTGGTGTGTTGTTTACCACTGAAAAGGACGAGGCCTTAGACAGTGAAAATATAGATGATTTGAAGAATCTTTTTCATTGACTCCTTGCATGCTTTATGGTCATCATGATAATAATCCATTTATTCAGAGTTAATTTCTTTGGGGGCAGAATGTGGAGGTTTTGTGGGATATAAATATATTTTGGTCGGGTTTAGATCTTTTTAGAGTCTAAGGAACACCCAGTTATTGTATAGGGGGAGGGATATGTTGTTAACAGATTCCTCATGTTTGTTTGTTAGTTTCTACCTTTGGTATTCAGCGGACATTTTGTCCTCTGTTTTGTTTGCTTGTGTGGTTAATCAGTTCTTAAAAGCTTTACAAATTTGGATTCCCCATCGGTAGTCTGAACATTTTCTTGTTGGTTAAACATTCTCCTAGTTAGTAACTCATTTAATAATGGCTTGTTTATAGGCAGCTGAACTAGAAATTGAAGCATATCCGTTACTAGATGAGCTCACGTCAAAGATCAGTACACTGAACTTGGAGCGCGCACGTCGATTGAAAAGTAGACTCCTTGCCTTGACTCGGAGAGTTCAGAAGGTATTGCATAATCATCTCATTTGTTATTTCATCATGCTTAAGACTCCAAATGATGACCAAAACTGTCTTCCAACCTTTGAGATGCATCTATTTAGGTTCGGGATGAAATAGAGCAGCTCATGGATGATGATGGAGATATGGCTGAGATGTATCTCACTGACAAGAAAAGTCGTATGGAGTCATCGTTTTATGGTGATCAATCTGTGCTGGGGTACAGATCTACTGATGGTACATCTCTTTCTGCTCCTGTTTCTCCTGTAGCTTCACCTCCCGATGGCCGAAAGCTTGAGAAAAGCCTGAGCATTGCAAGGAGTCGACATGAAAGCATGAGAAGTTCAGATAGTGCTACAGAGAGTATAGAAGAGCTTGAGATGCTGTTGGAAGCATACTTTGTTGTCATTGACAGCACACTGAATAAGCTGACATCGGTATGCATAGCACTTGTTTTATTGAACTTTGACATCAGTATATACATCAATGACTATATCTAATCATTCCAGTGCCATATTAACTTGAGTAGAATACAAGCTTATGTTATTTCTGTCCGTGTTTCAGTTGAAAGAGTACATTGATGACACAGAAGATTTCATAAACATTCAGCTGGTATGCGCCTCGTTTAATTTATTTTTTTCTCAATAAATGTCTAAATGTCTTTCAAATATTGCCTAAAACATTTGTCTAAAAATTGAATAAAGAAGAAAAGAGATAGTTTATTACTTTTTTTTTGGGTCAATAGATAGTTTATTACTTAGTCTCAAATATTGCCTAAAACACTGTTCAAATATCCAAAAGCTGTTAAACAATTATATTGAACAAATAAAGACGCTAGGTAAGTGTACTATTAGTCAAAAGTCCCTTCGTGATCCTTTTATTGAATAAGTACACTAGACTTACTAAGTTATTAGCATTGAATGTTCACTGAGGGACCTCATTTTTTTACTGCAGACTTTCTAATACAATTTGAATTTTGCCGAGGACTTATCATTAGAAACCTCTATAATACCATGCGTAATTCGTTGGCTAATGCTAATTCTATAGCTAAAGATTACAATAATGTTAGATGTTACTTTCAGTTTCGTTTCTTTGAAATTTGTCGGTATGAAGGGAACAAAAATTTAACGCTAGAAAGTTTTTGCTCGCAGGATAATGTCCGAAATCAGCTGATCCAATTTGAGCTACTACTCACAACTGCAACATTTGTTGTTGCTATATTTGGGGTCGTAGCAGGAATCTTTGGGATGAACTTCACAATACCTTTGTTTGATAACGCTGGTGCATTTAAGTGGGTACTTATAATTACAGGTGTAACTGGCTTTTGCATATTTTCTGCATTTGTGTGGTTCTTCAAGTACAGAAGACTGATGCCACTTTAGATGTAAAACGAAACCTCAATGAAGGAATTACAAATGAAAAAGAAAAAAAAAATATTTATTGCTATTGTCTATGTTCCTTCTTTAGATTAGGAGGAATTGAATTGAGGAGTTGGATTGAGGTGAATAAGATTCCAGGTTTCTGCTGAAGTTTAAGTTGTTTACTAAATCATATGGATTGAGGAGAGTTAGATTTCGGATTCCTATTGAAGTTGTTTACTAAATCATATGGAATTGGGGTTGGAGTGGTATTAATTACTATAATGTTCTTGTTGTTGGGTTAAAATAGATGATAAATTTGAAATTTTAAAAAGTGTGTGAGGATATCATGGGTAAAAAAAAAAGAATTCCTAATGGGTTAGATATATAGGGTTTAGGGTTAGAATTTTAAAAATTATGTGAGGATATAATGGGTAAAAAAGATGAATTCCTAATGGGTTAGATATAAAGGAATTAGAATACCACATTCCACCAAAGAATTGAATTCTGCTAAAATTAGGTATTCAATTTCTAATTTTGTATGGGTCCTATTTACTTTTTAATTTCTTAATGTGAAGTAAACTCAATAATCATTCATACTTGAAATTCAATTCCTAATTCCAATTCTAATTTTAATTCCTGATTAGTAAACACACCATAAATGGAAAGTTAGTTGGATGGATCGATTCTTTCAATTTCATTCAATATCAAATTCACTGAAAAAGCAAAAAAGGTATGAAAAAGCAAAAAAGGTATGTTCAGTAAAACCCAGTATTTCTAAGCAAATTCATCTGCTCGTGATTTAACTTTTTTATTTGTTAATATATATATATATATATATATATATATATATATAT